AAATCTGATAATGGATGGAAAATGGCTGGGCAATGGCCTGGCTGTTATAACCTTCAAAAACCTTAAATCTTTGAATCTTAAAACCTTAATTCTTAAACCATTGAAACCTTAAATTCCGAAAGTCTTCAAATCTGAGACCCTTAGAATCTCAAAGTTTTTAGAATTTTAAAATCTGAACATCTACTAATCGGACTTGCAGGAAAGGGAAGTGACAGAACGGGCAGGGCAAGGTGCCCGGTGGCCGGCTGTGTCGCGTCAGCGTGTAAATCCGGCCACCGGACGTGATCGGGCCGCAGGCCAAGCCCGCAGGGCTTACCTTCAGGTATAAGACCGTGCACCCCATGCCGCCGACCATGCGCGGACCATGAGCATACGTTTTGCGCCGGGCCCGCCCTTATAATGGGCGAAGGATTCACGGATTGGTTTTTTGCGACTTTTGTAGCATCTCCCCGCAGCGCCCAAAAACGAGTCCAAAAACGAGTATTTTTATGGGGTGCCTAATACTGGACAACACCCCCAGCATTGCCAGCATCATCCTGGATGATGCGGATGATGTTACGCATGCTGGCGATGCGAAACAAGGGGCTGAAAATTGCAGAGAGCGAAGGGGAAATGCAAGGAAACCGGAATGACTGGAAGAGAGCGAAATGGTAGTGAAAGGAATTGCACGAACACGAAGAGCTGGAGAGAAACCAAAAATGCAGGAAAACAGAACGCGAAGGGAAGCGGAGGACGGGAACGAAAATAAATTGTTGGAAATTATAGGAAACGAAGAGAAACTGAAGAGAACTGAAGGGATGTGCAGGAAACTGACGTGGAATGGGAGGCGGACTGAAGCCACGAAAACTAAAAAGAAGGGAAAGGCCAGGAAACTGTCAAGGATACAGGAAAGACACGCAAAGGAAGTGAGGTTCGCATTCGGGCACAAATTAGAGGAAAAGGAAGTGACAGGCAGGGCAGGGTGCCCGGTGGCCGGCTGTACTGAAGGGGTCGGCGGCACTGGGCGGCAGCCCTTAAATCCGGCCACCGGACGTGATCGGGCCGCAGGCCAAAGCCCGGTAGGGCTTACCTTCAGGTATAAGGCCGCGCGCCCCATGCCGCCGACCATGCGCAGAACATGCGCAGAACATGCGCAGAACATGCGCAGAACATGCGCATACGTTTTATGCTGGGCCCTCCCTTATAAGGGGCGAAGGATTTGCGGATTGGTTTAGGCGATTTGCGAGGAATTTTGTAGCATCTCCCCGCAGCGTCCAAAAACGAGTCCAAAAACGAGTATTTTTAGGGGGTGCCTAATACCCCCAGCACTGCCAGCATCATTCCGGACGATGCGGATGATGCTATGCATGCTGGCGATGCCAAACAAGGGGCGGAAAATTGGAAGCAGGTGTGACTGGAAGTCCACGAAATGGACATCAAAGGAATTGCACGAATTTGAGGGGGGCACTGGAGAGAAGCCAAAATGCAGGCAAATGCAAGGTCAGACGAGGGGAACCGAAGAAGGAAACGAAAACAAATTGTGGAAATTATGGAAAACAAAGAGAAACTGCGAAATGAAGGGATGTGCAGGAAACTGACGTGGAATGGGAGGCGGACTGAAGTCACGGAAACTAACAAGAACAGAGGGGAGGACTGCGACTGACACGGCGAGGTTCAAATCTCGGGAACTGATCGGAATTAACGGAAAGGGAAGTGACAGAACGGCCAGGTCAAGGTGCCAGGTGGCCGGCTGTGTCGCGTCAGCGTGTAAATCCGGCCACCGGGGGCCTCAGACCCCGTGGTCCGTGATACGGCCGAAGGCCTAGGCCCGGAGGGCCTACCTTCAGGTACAGGGCCGGCCGCGTGCCGCCGACCACCGCCGACCATGCGCCGACCATGCGCTATACTTTTGCGCTGTGACCTCGCTGCCAGGGGGGAAAGGATGTTCGGGCGTGTTTTGGGCGAAAAGGGGTCGTTTTTGGACCGACTCCCCGCGGAGTCAAAAACGAGCGTTTTTTGGGGTGCCCATGGTGGACAACATCCCCGGCATTGCCTGCATCATCCGCATCCATGGCGGGCACTGATGCAGATGATGCCGGTGATGCGGGGGATGTTGTCCCCTAGGTTGGGCCAATCTTGCCGAAAACGTGAAAAACACAGTGTTTTTCAAGGTTTTTGGCGGGTGCGAACGTGGAACATATCGAAACCTGCTTGGCAGGCAGGCCTCGATGATCCCGGCCGAACTCGATTTTGGGCAGGGTACAGGGCCAGCGCCCCACGTGCATTTTCCCGGTGGCCGGCTGTGTCGCGAAGCGCTTAAATCCGGCCACCGGCCCCTGACCCGTGATCGCCGAAGGCCTAGGCCCGCAGGGCCTACCTTCAGGTATAAGGCCGTCCGCCCCATGCCGCCGACCCACCGCCGAACTTTTGCACTGCGCCAAGCTGGGCCCACCCTTATAAGGGGCGAAGGATTTGCGGATTTGTTCAGGCGATTTTTTGCGGCTTTTTGAGCATCTCCCCGCGGAGTCAAAAAATGAGTGTTTTTTGGGGGGGTGCCCATAGTGGACAACATCCCCGGCATCACCTGCATCATCCGCATCCTTGGCGGACATTGATGCGGATAATGCAGGTGATGCAGGGGATGCTGGGGATGTTGTCCCCGAAGTCGGGCCAACTTTGCCGAAAACGTGCAACCTGAAAATCTTAAAATCTTAAAGTGGATGGAAAATGGATGGAAAATGGCCTGGATTGAAATCTCAAAATCCTAAAGTCTTAGATTCTTAAAATCTTAAATTAAAATCTAACAATCAATCTTAGAATCTCGAGATCTTAAAATCTTCGAACTTAGAATCTTAAAATCTGAAAATATAAGAAACATCCTAAAGTCTCGGGGGATGCTGGGGATGTCGTCCCCTAAGTCGGGCCAACTTTGCCGAAAACGTGCAACCTGAAAATCTTAAAATCTTAAAGTGGATGGAAAATGGATGGAAAATGGCCTGGATTGAAATCTCAAAATCCTAAAGCTTAAAATCTGAAAATATAAAAACATCCTAAAGTCTCGGGGGATGCTGGGGATGTTGTCCCCTAAGTCGGGCCAACTTTGCCGAAAACGTGCAACCTGAAAATCTTAAAATCTTAAAGTGGATGGAAAACGGATGGAAAATGGCCTGGATTGAAATCTCAAAATCCTAAATTCTTAGATTCTTAAAATCTTACATTAAAGTCTAACAATCAATCTTAGAATCTCGAGATCTTAAAATCTTCGAACTTAGAATCTTAAAATCTGAAAATATAAAAACATCCTAAAGTCTTCGAGTCTTGAAATCTTAAAACCCTTATGTCTTAGAATCTTGCGATCTTAAACTCTTAAAATATGAAATTCCTACAGTCTTAAACTCTTACTCTTGAAATTTGGAATTCTTGAAACCTCAAGACCTTAAACTTACAACCTTAGAAGATCGAATCTTACAATCTGAAAATATAAACATCCTAAAGTCTTCGAATCTTGACTTCTTAAAACCCGACTATCTTCGAATCTTCAGATGTTAAAACCTAAAAATATGAACTTCCTAAATTCTCAAAGTCTTAAAATCTCAGAATCTGAAAAGCTTTCAAAACTCAAATTCTTTAAATCTCGAACTATTGCAATCTGAAAATCTTAACTTCATAAACAAGTAAAATAGAATAAAATTCCTTCAATCCGGGCTATATTTTAAATTCCTTAAACTCTTAATCTTGAAACTTTGAAGCCTTGAAATCTTGAGATCTTAAAATCTTAAATTCCGAAAGTCGCCAAATCTGAAAATCTCACAAACAATAAAATCTTAAAGCCTTCGAAATCTGATAATGGATGGAAAATGGCTGGGCAATGGCCTGGCTGTTATAACCTTCAAAAACCTTAAATCTTCGAATCTTAAAACCTTAATTCTTAAACCATTGAAACCTTAAATTCCGACAGTCTTCAAATCTGAGACCCTTAGAATCTCAAAGTTTTTGGAATCTGAAAATCTTAACATCTACTATGATCGGGCCGCAGGCCAAAGCCCGCAGGGCTTACCTTCAGGTATAAGGCCGTCCGCCCCATGCCGCCGACCATGCGCAGAACATGCGCCGACCAATGCTCCGGACTACACCCCCAGCACTGCCAGCATCATTCCGGATGATGCGGATGATGCTATGCTTGCTGACGATGCGAACCAAGGGGCTGAAGGGGAAATGCAAGGAAACAGGAGTGACTGGAAGTGAACGAAATGAAAGTCAAAGGAACTGCACGCAAATCAAGAGGGCACTGGAGAGAAACCGAGATGCAGGAAAATGCACGGGCAGAAGACAGCGGGAACGAAAAGGGAAAGGAATGCGAATAAACAATTCATGTGAAATGGCTGGATGGAATGGGCTGGAAAAAGGATGGACAAAAAGGATGCAAAATTGATGAAAATGAAGGGGCGTTGATGAAAAAAATGCGGGATGGAAAGTTCCTGGAAAATGCATTGATGGAATGAATGGAAAAAGGATTGCAACAGGGTGCAACAATTGAGCATCCATGGCGGACATTGCTTCGGATGATGCAGTCGATGCAGGGGGTGCTGTCCACGCCGGTCAGGGACGTGTGGGGAAATGAAGGGAAAGGTGAATGGAAATGGATCGAAAATGTCTGGAAAATGGATGTCAAAGGATTTGCACGAAAATGAAGAGGGCACTGGAGAGAAACCGAGATGCATGGAAATGCACGGGCAGAACGTGAAGGGAACCGGACAGCGGGAACGAAAAGGGAAAGGAATACGAATAAAAAGTCTTCAAGGAAAGGGAGCTGAAACGGCAGTGAAGTGGAAGGAAGTGAAGGGACATGCCAGGAAACTGTCAGGGAAGACATGCAAAGGAAGTGAAGTTCAAATCATCCCGATAACTCACAGGACTTGGAGGGAAAGGAAATGAAAGAACGGGAAGGGGTGCCCGGTGGCCGGCTGTGTCGCGTCAGCGTGTAAATATGCGTCCGGAGTCACGAATTCTCAGCTCCCCGCTTGCGGCCCGCGAGGGATCACCAAAAGCCCACGTTCGTCCACAATGCGCTTCCGGCACGAGAAGGACGTTTTCTGCAACAAGCATGTCGGAATGCATTTTAATCATCATTTCATACAAGCACATGAAAACTCATGTAGCTCGCCGTGCCTGGATATAATCGCTTGGCAAAGAGAAGTAAACCTTACAACGGAACGACAACGACAGAACAACATGTTTGCAGCATTTCCAGAAATGTGTTTCTTGGGGTCGAGCAGTACTTCCGGACCTGTCTGCGTCGATGCGTGCAATCATGTCCGGGACAAAGGGCACATAGACGACCTCAGGGGCAAGGGCTCACGAGATTGGACACGGCGATGGGACGCTTTGGCTTCGATGTGTTGGACTTTCTGTGCACGCTGTGATTCTGTGACTCTGTGACTCTGTGACTCTGAGCATTGTTGGATCTTGCATCTGAGGTGACCACACGCTCAAAGTTCGGATCTGCCGTTCGCCATTCGTCCATGTCCAGTGCCCTGCACGGCTGGGAAAAAGCTCTCTACACATGGAAGCTTGAGCTGAGGTTGCGACTTTCCAGTGTTTGACTCCTTCATCAACAGAAGCAAAATTGATCCAACTGTGAGGGGCGTTACACATTCCATCCCTTCAACACCTGGCCTTGACTACTGACATGGATGGATTTCATTCAAAACATGTGAGCCACCGTGAATGTTCAAAATGAAATGGGAATTACTTGCGTGAGCCACAGTGAGCCTTGTCTCCTCATGGTATTTATCCACATATTTCTCCCCTTGACGCTCGTCACATTAGTCAAACAAGCATACTGGAGTGTCCGGATCTGGCTCGTAGAGGTACTTGCCCTCGCCTCCGTTCACCTGCGACTGGTCTGCAAAAAGCGGAGGGTGCAAATCCAGTGTCCAGCTCTGGTTCCAAAAACACCGCCTCGTTCACCAATGTGATGTCCAGAAGGTCATGTGCTGCCTGTCCACAAAGTCGGCCATCACAGTTAAAGTCATAGCATTCTGAGCCGTGCGAGCCACCCTGCCTTCCGCCCTCGGTGCCTACGCGCGATCTTGTAGTCGGGAACCTTTCACAAGGCTTCCGGAGACGTGGAGAAGTGGCACGAGTGCCAAGAACCCGGCCACTGCAGAGATGTCTCCGAAATGTTGGAGCTCCGCTCCAGCATTAGCGAGCACCTTTGGATTTGGGGGCTCGAGTGGGCTTGGGACATTGGCTAATTTCAAAGGAAATCTCCTCGGCCTCTTTAGCCTCTGCGGGAGAAGCAGCTGCCGCAAATTCTCCCAGAGTCTCCTCGGACACCTGAACAAATCGCCTTCCGTAGGTCTTCCATCAAAAGCTCTGGCCTGTCCGGTGACCATCACGCACTTGGAGCCGATCAATCCCAAGGCATCTCCTCAGCGAAAAGCGAAGCTGAAAGTTTGAAAGCAGTCCCGACGACCTTCGAAGCCGAAGCCAGGCCGCGAGTGGCAAAGGTTGTAGTCCCGGCATCGTAGAGATCGATGCCTCTGGTCGAAAATGGACATGCTATGCCAGCCATCAGCTGCCGGCCTCCTTGGTCTTCCTCCTGGCAACTTGAATCCCTGAAAAATACCCTGAGAGCAGTAGTCAAGCATGTTCTTTTTGGTCGGGCAAGTATTGCAGGGGTTCGGTCCTGGACTTTGGCAGATGGAGGCGGTTCCAGCCTGGGTGATGGAATCGCTTGCAGAAACCCCCAGGCTCAGGGCGCGGACGCATAGACTTTGTATCCCCTCAAAGCCACAGCCTGGTGCAACTGTGCCACATACCATCACACATCTTTGGCACCGCACCTCCTCGGGCGACTCCACCCCATGCAGGCGCAAGGCAAAGACACGGCGCTGAACCTTGCACAGGCTGTGCACAGGATACGACACGGATACGTCACGGCCCAAAGGCTTCTGATCCGATCGGCTCCAAGGCTCCGACTCGTTTGCCTGTGAGGATCCTGCGAATTCGGACGTGTTCGACGGCAATGTGTTCCGATTCCGCCTGAATGGCCGAGGGAAACGTCGATGAGGTGCTTTGAGGTGCACCTGCCACGTAGACGCTTGTAGACTCTTATTATAGACGCTTAGACGCTTAGACGCTTCTGTAGCTCGAAGTAGCTTGGCGGATCTGAAATGCGGCGGAGAGCCCGCTTGGAGTCCTCTGTGAAGTTGGAGAAATTTCGGCCTCACTGAAATCAATCGAATCCATGAAATCCAGCTCCTGAGGCCCGAACGGGCCAAATGGGTGGCCGGATCGTAGCCTGCGGCTCAGAGCTCAGAGCTCAGATCAACTCGACAAACCCTTCGTGCCCCGCTGCCGTGCCTTGATCACAAAGGAAGTCATCTGCCCGCACGCGCACGTCGCCATGAACACCTGAAAAACATCGCAAGAATCAAGAAAAACAATGCGCAAACATGTCGACATGTGCCGGCCGTGTGCACCGGTGACCACTCCCACGAAGGCGAAGCCAAAAGACTCGGGGTCGTGGGGGTCCAAGGCGTGACCCTGCAACAGGTCATGGCACATTCTCCACATTGGTTGTAACGTCTTAAAACGGAAAAATGAGCAACGCACTCCTCGGGCCACGTAGCCCGCCACATGTCCAGCCACTTCCTGCCCACATGTCGGGTACTTTAGAGAATACGACAGTTGGTCGCCCGCCTGTCCCTCTCCTGGTCTGCTGCCTCTTGGTCTTCCGTGTCCTCTCATCGTCCGCCACAAAGGGATTGAATGTCCATTTCAAGAGGCAGAACTGCAACTACGGCCAAGGCTGAACGCCTCCAGAGGGAAACCTCTGTTGAATTTCATCTTTCCTTCTTCTTCTCCCACCTGCGGCCAGGCCATGCGCTTTGTGGCCAAGCTTCCACTCTTTCTCTCGAGGCAAAGTGCTCTGCAAATTCAGCCTTCTTGCCGCGGTAACGCTTGTGACCTCCTGACTTCTTTCTCATATCGCCCCAAAGCATGCGGCGCTCCCTGGCAGGAGGTGCAAATAGGCAAACAAATGCAGATATGGGTGTGTCTGTCGACCGGAGCAGACTGCAACTCCGCAGGAACCGCGTATCGTTCCGAACTTCTTGCATTTCTTGCGACCATCGATCCAGCCTCAAATGATCATAAGATCATACCCGACAAGCACATTGGAGGTCCTGACAGCCTGAGGTGCTCACGGCGAGGGGTTCTTTGCCCTCCACTTCTTCTTCTCTTGGAAAGCCTGGCCGTGGCCGAGAAGAAAAAAACGTGCGGAGAACGTCAGGCCTCCTCCTTCCGTTGCAGCTCCAGAGCTCCCGTCGCCTTCAAAGATGTTTAACCTCTTGAACCCGAAGTACTTGTAGCCGAATGGGAAGATTCGAACACTTCCATGAAAAGCGATTTGGAAGCGGGACTTCCGAATCCAATGCAACTGAAATTGCGCTTGCAAACCTCCAGGAGCTGGATCTGCTGGTTCTCCAGCTCTTCGCGAGATGGTACGTACCCCAGGTCCTGGGTGAAGTGATGTCAGAAAGGGCCCGGCTTGCGCGTGAGGCTGCCACCTCTTTCTTGTCCTTTACTTGGGCCTCCTCCTTGTCCTTGACTTGCACCTGTTGCGGCTCCATAAAATCAAGCTGCCTGGCAATGCTGGCACATGCATGACTGTGATTTGGGCTCGAGACTAGTGATTAATGCGGTAAACAAGAAACACATACCTAAGCCGACGATGAGCCGCGCGGCCGAACCCACCAACCGGGTCTCTTTCTCCGCCGACACGTAGCTGGTCGACGCGAGGACCCGGCGACGCTCATCGCAGGCCGCGACGGAACCCTGTCCCAATGACACTTGGAACACATGTCATTCTGCCGCCTCGTCCTTGGACTTGGCAGCCCGGCCACTCCCCAGCCTGCGGAAGATCGATCGCAAATCCCCGCAGTCCTCGTGTTGTTGGAATGCCTCCTCTGCCTGAAACAGGCAGCGCCGGCCTTGGCTGTCATGCCTACAGATCTCTGGGCATGCCAAACACGAACACATGAACACTCAGGCCAAAAAGCTCAGAGTAAGGTTAGCATTCTCCCATAACCCAACCTAGATGAACCGCCTGTCTTCTGAAGCTGGCTTGTAACGTCCCAGGCGCAACAGAAGCTGCAATGAAGAGTTCAGGTCGTTCTCGTCTCGGAGGCCGGCTGCCACTGCTGCCACCAAACCCATAGTTACCTTCACTGCTGTTGCAAACAAAGCTTAAATACACAAAATGCAATATATATTTCTATATATATATATATATTGTATATATAATGTATAATGTTGTCAGCTCAGAGTTGGTTGTGCGCCTGGCAGCGCTGGTGAATCTCCTGCCAGGAATCCAAATCTACAGGTCAGGACAAACATGAGCTGAGGGTAGAACGGCATGGCTGCGGAGCGCCCAACGCAAACGCAAGCATGGCGCGCACTGCACTGGATGCGCACTCGCTGTGAAATGGATTCCGCCTGTACCTCTTGCGGCTGTGCTGGACTAGGGATCGTTGAACTCGACCCTTGCTTGCCTGTATTTCTTTGTGTTCCAGGATGCCGCGCTGAAGCCAGGGAAAGCGTTGCCTCGAACACATCACATTTCAAGGCCCGTCCTGCACTTATGCCGCTTATGCCGCGGAAGGAAGACTTTTTGCGCTCAGCTGGAAATCAGAACCTGGGCACGTGCAAACCTGCCAACCTGGGCAGTGATGAAAAGCCGAGCCCCGGGCCGTTCTGCATTGGCAGTTTTGGAGTCTCTGGGATCTCTGTTCCCGCCCTCAGCATTTTGCAAGCGCATTGCATTGCTTTGCCGCTTTGCATTGGAATGAAACATGAGTCGCATGAGAGAGGTGCGCCCTTCTGTCCAGGCCTCAAAGGCAGTCCCCAAACACGCGCTTCCAGAAGCAAAGTGCTGCCAGGCAGCTTCTTTAATCCAGCCGACCAGCTTCCCACAGGCCTCAAACGTAAGCTGGCAAGCTGGCAAGCTGGCAATATGCAAGTGATCTGCCGCTCATGGCCGTAGCCCAGGGCTTTGGCGCATCGCTGTAAGATGCTGGGTCCATAGGATCAATGCTTTCCTGAGCAGCTCGAGCGCGCAACCCGACACCACCCATGTGTCGCCTTCTTCTTGGACTTGCCATCCGTCATCTCCTTGCCGAAGCAGAAAGCAGGAAAAAGAGCTAAAGCTGCTCGGCACTGCCCTGCAACCGCCTCAAGGCTTGGCATTTTGGCTTCGACGCCAAGATCGGCCAAAGCCTCAGTCCAGAGGGCAGAAAGCCCTTTCGGACGGCACGGCGCAATCTCGGGCAAAGGCCCTTTCGACATTTCGGCCATATCCTCAGACCCATCTCGGAGAGACCCTCTACGTGCAGAATGCAGCAAATAAAGTTCCTCTCACATGCCCCCTTGCACGAGGCCTAGCATGATCTGGATACAGCGCTTGCCACCGTTGGCCTGAGGCTGGCAGCAGGTGTGAAAGCCATTTGAGTTGTGAAACTGCCTGCACCGCAGTCTCTCCAGTAACTTTCACTGTGCAGAACTGGTCATCCTTCAGCTTGGTGCTTCCGTCTCCTAGCAAGAGATAACCAGTGTTTCAGATGTGACTATTGCGATTGCCAACAGGAAGAAACAATAGCGCCTATGCCGCGCCCGATCTTGTTACCCTCTTCATCTCGCTTGCCTCTCCGGACATGCCCGACCACCGCAGAGTGGTGCCCCGTGTGCAAGTGGCACTGCATGGTTTCCAAGACTCTGGACTCTCAAACAGAGTCCAATGAAGAGAGTACCCATTGCGGTGCACCACCCCTAACCCAATTCAAGCAGCAGGGGATGGAGGATGTGGCAGGGTGGGGGAGCAGCATCTGCACAAGCTCATCTGCACAAGTGACAAGCTGAACACGCAGCCCGATAGCCAGCCCAGTTGCTGCACCCGCAACAAACCCTGTAAGCTAGAATGAAGAAAACAGAACTGGCAGAACATAGACGTTGTCTTGAACAAGGATGTGTTGCGGTTCAGTGACGGCCTTTGGACTTGCCCTTGCTGTTCTTCCCTTTCTTCCCCTTGCCGTCCTTCTCCTCCTAGCAGGCAACCAAGGCTTGCTTGCGCTTGAGAGCGCGCGCTCTAGCACGGACCTTCTCTTGGCGCGGGACGTGCACGTCGCAACCAATTGACGCCTAGACAGTGACACGTCCCCAAACTCTGGAGGTTGAAACCTCATTCCTTTTGGAAAGTGAAATGTTGCTTGTGAATCTAGAAGCAGTCTGCCCTCTTGTGGTGTTCCAACTGCTCCGCAATGACGTGACATGCCCTCAACACCAAGGCCAATCAAAAGCCAGGCTCTGGCGGCTACAGCTCTCGTTTGCAATGCCGAAGGAATTACAAGAACTTCTGACATTCACAAGACAAATGCATCTGCTTCTTTGCTACAGTCATCATTGTCATCATTGCATAAGCCAGCGTTCCGCTGGCTGCTTCCGGCTGGCAAAGAATGCTAAGTGGGGGCAACCTCGCGTCCCTGCTTACAGTTGCATCCTTTGCAGCTCACTTGCCACATGTTCTGACTCTTGCTAGCTTCAACTATCAAACGTTCAGGTGCTTGCTGGTTGCACGGCCTTGATAATCTTCAGGTTCATCCCTTGTCTGCCAATGATCTTGCCCAGGTCTGTCCAAAGAATCTGGCAAAAGCAGTGGGAGTGGAGTGCAACTCGATCTGCGATTCCCTGCCTTGTGCTCTTCTGTAAATTTTGGCTTTTTCTCTGCCTTTGGCTTGTAGAGCTTTTCGGCCTATGCTTTGGTGTCTCTCTCGTAGACAGGACGGCTTGTTGCGTGCTGCAGTGAGTCCGGGCTCAGCATGCCGCGGGGTGTTCCCAGGTCACCTGCCAAAGGCCGAGGCAGCAAAGCAGGAAAGCAGGAAAGCAGGAAGGCAGGACTGCGCGCGCCTCATTGGTCTGGGTGTTCCAGAAGTAATGATCGCCCTCGTGCGGCACACGCACCTGCCGCAGTCTCCAGAGGCTCCAGAGGCTCCAGAGGCTCCAGGCGGGCTCTGAGGCCGGCGCCCAGCCCGGCGGAAGCGGCGGCCCCGGCCCCGGCGGCCCCGGAGGCGGAGGGGTCGAGGCATTCGAGGCGTTCGAGGCGTTCGAGGCGTTCGAGGCGTTGGAAGCGTTGGACGCCGGGTTCGCCGGGCTCGGGGCCGGAGGGTTTGACGGACTGGGCGCTGGCTCCTGGCGCTGGGCTCGAGGTTCGGCTCGAGCCTTCGGGCGGCGCCTGCTTCGCTTTGTCATAGACCCATACGGGCGCCTTACACGCGCACACGTGCAACTTCGCTCAAAATATGTTGTACATGCTCTCTGGAGTCTGGCCTGTTGCCCCTCTGCTCGTGCTGCTGCTGCACGCACATCCGCTGGCGATACACCCTATGCTTCACAGCTCTTCACAGCATCGCACTCAGGTCGGTTGCGCCTCGATCTTCTTGCGCTTCGCCTCGCTGTCCTCTGAGCGCCGTGAAGACCGAAAAAGGAGACATCCGGAAACATCCGGCCTGAGCGTTCTCTGCTGGTCTCTTCACATCCGTGCCTCAGAGTCTGTGCAGTTCGCAAGCTGAGCTACAAATGAGCAGCGCAAGCATAGAGTCAGCTCACTCGGCCCGGTGAAATCATACGAAGCCGGGTCCACCATTTCTGAGCCCTGTCCAGCCAAGGGACGGATGACTGGAGCCGCAGAATAAACCTGAAGCGCTGAAAATGTGCATGCTGAAAGCCACCTGTGACTGTTTGCGGACGAGCGTGATGCCAGTGGATGGCAAAGTGGGCAAAGGCAACTCCCAACGTTCTAGTTGACAACCGTGTGAGTCGCTGCGCACCTGCTGTGGAGCCTTTGCCACAGTTGCCTGGCAACTTCTTTGTCTCCACCATGGAGGGGGCAGGAAGCGTGTAACGAGGCTCAGTGCAACACGCTACAAACCACTAGAAACCAGTAAGAACCTGAGATCCTTGAAACTCGCATCCACCGTGCCTGCTGTGGAGCCTTTGCCACAACTGCACTTGCCTGCCCATGTTCTGCAGTTGCCATTCACATCTCTTGACAGAATCACTCCCCGCCTTCACCATGGACTTTGCCATGGCCTCATGGCCAAAAAACCAAGACACAGACTTTCACCCCAAGGCAATAGACCCCATCTAAACGAAGCAAAACTGTTTGAGCCCACTCTTCACACCCAAGATTTTGTCAGGAGACTTCAGACTTCATCGTTGAGTTCTTGATTTCCCATTTCTCAGGCGCTGGCTATGGTTCGAGCCCAGTCCTCGACCCGAGCAGCAGCGGCCTGCTGAGCCATGGCCAGCGCTGGGGCGTGGGCCTGGCAGACTGCGCACTGCCAAAATCCTGACGAAGACTCGCTCGCCATCGCTCGCCATCGCTCGCCATCCCTCGCCATCCCTCGCCATCCCTCGCCATCCCTCGCCTGCGGAGGGGCACCTTTGGCCTGCGAAGCTCTCGTCTTGTTCTGAAAGCAATCGCCACTCCCGCCTTCACGACAGCTCCATGGACACTGACAGGCTCTGGCCTCCGAAGTACAACTTTCAAGCCAGATATGAATCAAAGCCATTCATATCTAGATGCATCCAAGCCAAATTACATCAATTTTTATGTGCATAAAGTATGAGCTGAAGGCAGTCAAAAGCTGCCTGAGCCTGGCACGGGGTCCCTGGGCTTGCCAAGGTCGCTGGGGGCGGGGAAGCAGCTGGAGGGATGCCAGGGCCCGGCGCCCCAAGGCCCATGGCCATCTGCACCTTCACTCTATATACTTCATGCATATACTTGCATATGTTTTATGCATATGTTTTATGCATGTTTCATGTGCCGTTTCTGCTATCTAGATTCGTAGACCGATTGTCCCGATTGCTGAGCCGGCCGCGTCCTCCTCCTTCAAAATGCCCCGCTGAACAAGTCGCTGTCGCAGCTTCGGGGGCAGCCTTCACAAGTGCCCTCCAGGCCCTCCCTTCTCGGAGCTGCGCCTAGCTATGCTCTCGGGGGTGTGACCGCCTCACGGGAAGCGATGACATCTCTTTGAATAAGGCTGACCATCTCTCAAGAATCTGACCAAAAAAAACCATCCGGGCTTCCTGCCAGCAACAGCGCTGCCTGATGAAGCTTCCATTTGGTTCTTTGCAAAGAAGGCAGGCTGACTGATTGATAGAATTGCGCAAAGGTATCACTTTGCACAGAGACGCCAAAAGGCGCCTGCCGGAAGCCACAGCACGATTGCTTCGCTCTTTCGCTCTCCGTGAACTTTGCATCTGGACACACCCTTGCCTGAAAGAGTGCCTTTGGGAGCTGCTGGCCTTGCGCTCGGCGCGGTCTCCCTGACCCGGGCGCCATTTCTATCCATTTCTGCCATGAGTTTCCGGCTTGGCCCGGGGCTCTGCTGGCTCCGCCGGCTCCGCCGGCTCCGCCGGCTCCGCGCCTGAAATCAAAAGCCGGGCCCGGGCTCCGATGGCCTCCGATGGCGACTCAAGGCCGTCGCCCGTTGGAGATGGCCTCAGCTGAGGGCCATGGCCAACATGGCCAACTCCGTTTCCGCGTCTTTTCGCTTACGGAGTTGGTATACCGCTGCTGACCGTTGCTGACTGACCGCAATGCTCAAGGCACCGGTTTGAGCCGTCGCCCGAAATGCATCGACTGCAGCCAGAGCACGGAGCCTGGCCAGCCGTGGCCTCCGGAGGCCCCGGCAAAGGCGGCGGCTCGTCCGGCAGAGGTGGCGCATCTGGGTTGGGCCCGCACGATTACACACTTTGGAATGCAGAGAGGTCGCAAGGGTCATATCCAGGCAGTGTCACTCTAGTTACAAACCATCACGGCACAGAATCCAGTGGGTATCCAACAGCTTATCATCGAGCGCAGGTACGTGGCTGAAGCGTCCTTCTGCCATATCCTGACGCAAGACTTGGAGGTTCGTTGGACCAGGCCAAGTCAAGCATCCCTGGTTCCCCTGCTCGTGTTCATACCAAAGACAGTCCCATATCGGCCGTGACGCCGCCTTCGTGCAAGAGAAGGTTCCACACACACACACACACACACGCCGCTTTTTGCGGCAGATCGCATCTGAGCAGTGTCGCGACAAAGCTGAGACCTAAATCGGCAGGTTCTTCACCTCGTTCCATTTCTGTCTGACACTGCCGGGGGATTTCTTCAAATCTTGCCAATGGCTTTGTAACTGGGTCGGGAACGCTCATTGGATTTTAACTCAACAAGGCGTTGAACTTGACTGGGCGACCAATTGTCACTCGCCGTTGAGGGTGCCGGTGAATGAGCTGCATCTGCAAGTTCACCGTCCGAGACTGATGGCTCTGCACTGTTAGGGGCCTCTGAGGGTGAAGGCGATGTAGCGGTGCAAGGTGTCAAAGGGAGACCTTCAAGGTTCAAAGCTGGTGGACGGAGTACCCCATGAATGTCGAAAAGCACAGGGTCGGGAAACGGAGTTTCGACCTCCTGCGTGTCAGTGATGTCAGACAGGTTGGGCACCGGAGGGGCCTTCATGCCGCGGCCGTGTGCCTGGAGGTAGTAGTGGGCACTCATGTGCTGGACGTGGCTGAGTACAGTCTGGTGCGTTGTCAGTCGGCGGCGCACTCTTCCCGGAAGCGGGTGCCATTGGAGACGACAAGAGCTCCGGCGGGGTCACGCCGCGACTGGGGTTTGCAGGCGAGGTTCTGGGTATAGTCACAGGAAGCGTGTGTTCAAATTGATGGAGAAGCCCAAGAAGTCGTTGCCCGGCTCGTCGGCCAGGGTGATGGTGTCAATGTAGAAGCGAGGAACGCACGAAAAGGTGGTGTGGTAGCGAGTGGTGCGGCAAGCATGGTTAGCCGGTTGTCGACGTACCGGCAGGAAAACCAAAGTTGCATGTTGTTGTGGAGCATTTCGGCGTAGGTGTGGCTCCAGGATTCCTCCACTGCGGCCACAACAAGCAGGCACATGGCTGGGCTTGCCGGGTTCCCCATGGGTGAGCCACAACGTTGGGCGAACATGCGAGTGCCTATGACGAAGCACCGAAGGGACAAAATGGTGCGGAGGATGGTGGGCATGTCCTCCAGCCATACTCGGTGTTCGTGGAGAGAAGCACGATGACGGTGACCTCGGAATAGTCGTAGATGTGACTGGCGTTCAGTCACGTTGACGGAGATCCATGGGGCGTGGCCGGGATTGGCTGCGAGGTACCGGTCGTTCAGCACAAGCCATGCTGAATGGAATCTTTCGTCAGGAATGGAAGTGAAGAAGCCCTCAAGGTCTTGGTTGTAGATGAGGAAGTGTGTTGTGCTCTGGTTGTCACGGAAGAAGGGTTGAATCTCTGTAAGGAGTTGCCACACGTCGCGATGCTGGAGGGATCGGGGAAACGCCACGGCCACAAGTTGATGCAGCAAGAAGGCCGTGGCCGAGAACAGCTTTCTGGCGAAGCAGCCGGCGAATGAGATGATGGGGCGGCCAGCAGAGAACTGTTTTTTGCGCTTCGGCAGAAGATAGGCTGTAGGAACGCGACCATAGTCGTGAAAGGCCCAATCGTACCGTGGAAGAGAGCGGCGAATGGCATGGACCTTGTCGTCGTGGTGCTGCAAGTGGTTGATGCCCACCATTTCATCGAAAATGTCTGAATTGCACCATGTGTTGTCCAGCATGCGATAGTACTGGATCGGGCAAAACACCATTAAACGATGAGCCGCGTGGTCCTCACAATGCCAGACCAAGTTCCCGGCGCACTCCTTCAAGGCGTGAAGGGCGCTAGCGTCAAACACTGCCTTGCCGCACTGTTTGTGCGTATTCCAGTGGAGGGATGCGTGATCCTCCAACCACTGCTGGCGCACGTGCGGTAAGTGGTGGTGGGTGCACCAACGGTTAAAGGCCGTGACATAGGCGAGAACGTACTTCTGCTTGGAGGGGTAGAACGCGTTCCTGCTGTTGCCGTCCGCGATGATGTGCAGGTGGGGAGGAAGATTGAGGTGAGAGGCAGGGCAAGCCAGGTGTCCGTCGACAAGATGGGTGTGTTCACCAGCCGTTCGTGTTGCCAGGGCGCACACGGGTGGGACCTGCTGCGCCCAGTCGTTCTGTGTTGTTCGGTGATTACGCAGGAACTCCGTGACATGGGAGTTTCGCTGATGAACGACCTTGAAGGACGGCACAGCGTGGAAAGGCACGGCGTGGTGAAACTCCTTGTAGATGGACTTCATGTCCTGAACGAGGTCGGACCCGTAGGATGGATGCTGTAGGAAAGGTAAGAAAAGTGGGGCAGAAGACCGGGGCAGTGGTATGCCGCGCTTCGTGCCGATGTTGCGTAGGTGTTTGAGGCAAATGGTAGAGTGAGGCTGTGGCATGTTGGCAGCCAGTCTGCACAAAGGAGCGAAGGCCACTGACGGGAAGTTCCAGTGGTGGAGTTGGCGTTGGGCCTCAAAAGAGCGGAGAGTGTTGCTGCTGAGGTCGGTGAGGAATGCGTGACCTGAAAATCGGCATGTGTCTGATGGCGGCGAACCGGCCAGGGAGGTTGTTTCGGCGAAGTTTGCAGAAGAGAGTGAAGAGGCCAGCGCCTTGAACTTTGTGTAGGTGCTTTGCACGCTGGATACCTCGTCGTGGACACCACCAGGTTGAGATGTGTGGGTGGTTCAGTGCAGGTTGGAGGTACTGGATGAAAGTTTGCTCGATGGCAAGCAAAGCCTCGGTGGGCTTGGGGAAGTAGATAGGTGTGATGGCAAAGGCAAAAAAGTTGTCGTGTTGTAGCCACCACCTTAGTGCCAGTTCAGCGCTGACCAACTTTGCTCGTTGTAGCTGTAGTAGCTTTCGATAACGGGTGTGCTCGCGTCCGGCGACATCGCTGTGGGTGCTGCCGATGTAGAACTTGTCCTGGAAGGCAGCAATGTCAGTGAACTTGATGTAGACGGCGTTGGGCGCGCTCCATTGTTCGAAGGTCATGTTGTGAGGTACAACTCCGGCGCGCTGGAAGGCGCGCAAAATCGACGGAGCGGTGGAGGAAATGAAGAAATGCAGGTTGACGGAGAGCAGGCGGCATTGCACCCACAGGCCACATGCGAAAATGTGGACGTTGTCATGCAGACAAATTGGAAGTAAAAGAGTGTGCAGCTGTGAAAAGACCTTTATCAAAGGTCGTGCTGCGCGGAGGACGGCTGCTGTGACTTGCCGTGCGCGGGCGATGGTGGCTAGTCAGTTGCCAAAAAGGTAAGCTGTTGCCAGCAGTTGTGCAGAACGGCAGGCTGTTTTGCCAAGTGTCTTAGAAGGGAAGCCCCACAAGATTGCGTTTGCCTCCAATTGGCCTGTCTCCTCGGTGATGTTGGGGGTCCACCCGGTGACCTGCTCGATCATGGTCTGCAGCTGCTTGCGCTTGTTGGATCTTCAGGTTCTTGATGAACTGCTTGAATTGAGTTTCGTTAGTAGTGCCTGCGTAGTTGTGGATCACCCATTGTGATCGTTGGCTCGGAGGATCGAGGAGACACTTAGGGTCCCATTTAATTTGGAAGTGGATGGAGTGAACGGGGGGGTTCACCGGGGGGATCGGCAGGTGTGGGAGTGAGGTCGGGTCTGGAGCGACTGGGTCGTAGAATTGGCCAGCATGTCGATGACAGTCGGTTGGGGCTTTTCGGAGGGTGAAGCCTGCTGTTGCTCCTGGTGCTTCAGCTGAGCGATCTGGGTCTCTAACTGAACTATGCGTTGCTCGGCATCGTTGTCGATGGCAGGGGTGGGTTGAAGGTCCACCATGACCTGGATGAGCTTTTTTACCAACGATTTCGTGCAAGATACGCGGTCGAGGGCGCCACCATCTGGTGGCCGCATTTGCTGCGATGCCGTCGATGTGCAGCTGGCGTGCTCTTATAGCAGAGCTGAGCTCGGCGAGCAGGACGACCTCAGCGACATCTCGAGCGCAGACCAAATGGACGGGTTGCCCGTGTGATAATCGCCGTAACCAAAAGTTTTTCCAGCCGTGGTGCAGCAGGTTGACGACTGGAATCTGCTCGGTGGGGTAGCCGGCGATTTGTCGTTCCTGGGTCCATGTGGTTGACGCTACCCGCTGGGTAAGTTGAGACCGTATTGGACGGTCGTGTCCAAGCGGTTAGAGTCTTGCACAAAGGTTGGGGGCAAGCAGGTGCACGTGTGGGAGGTGCAGTGGGTGTAGGCTGAGCAGCCAACTCGTTGGTCGAGGGCAGGGAGGGGGAGGGGAAAGGAGGCCGGTGGGAGCCATGCAAGCTCGGTGCGGTGGGTGAGGAGGGGTGCGGTTGCGGTCATTGTTCGGAGGGGGCTGTGGTATGGTGGTGTGCGTCCGTCGAACTTGGCGGATGGCGATCTTGATGCGGCTGACGACCTGCAAGTCCATGTGGGCGAGCAATGTCAGCAGGAAGAAGAAGAGGAGGGGGAGGGACAGCCGGCGGCCATGTAGTAGGCGGAACCGGTGGAAAACCAGGAAGAGGACAAGGCAAGGTTGTAGTTCCAGAGTGAGCGTCGGCTTGAGATGGGTCTGAGCGCATGGTCGGAGGCAACGCCCATGACGGCAATGGTGCTGGATGCAGGGCAGGTGGGTGCCCGTGGTGCGGTCGATCATAGGGCCCGTGTCTTGCAACGGCTCGCCAAACTGGAAGACGACAATCTCCCTGATCCGCCATGTCAGGCTGACTACGTTGATGCAAGGTTTTGTCAATGAACTTGCTGCAAAAACCGCGTGGCTGCGCGCGAACGTGAAGCGTGGCAATGGTGCAAGACAATCTGGGAGTCACATGGTCGGTCAATCCAAGTGGCGTGATGCAAATGGTCTGGTCATGGAAAGTCACAAATCCAAAGTCGCAGTGAGATTCGGCTGAAGTGCGTTGAAACATGGCTGTTCCGAGGGTGACCTCAATAACCAAGAGGCGGAGAGACGGAAAGACAAGCAGGGTTTTCCGAGGGGACCGAAACAAACCATCGGTGAGACGGAGAAAAAACAGGGATTTCCAATCGTCCAAAAACTCATGGTGTCGGTGAGACAACGGAGCAAACCTGTTTGCTCAAGGGCCTGCGTGTATCCGTGAGACACCTCGTGAGACTAGGTGAAACGTCTTCACCGCTTTGCCCTCTGTCATATGATGCTGCCGGCATAGGCGTTGAATCTCGCTGACTCCTCCCGCATCTGTCCGGGCGTGAGCGACGTTGCCGGAGTACTCGCCAAGGATGACGGCGGCCTGCTGTCCCTTCCCAATTCGGTACAACTTCCGCAGGAGCTCGTTGGCGTTGTATTCATTGAGGTGGCCCTGCGCGCCGTACCCGAAGAATCCGAAACTGGGGAAGTCTGATCCGCTGCTCCATGAGTTGGGTCGGAGCAAGCGGTCCTTGAGGATTCCTGCGGCTCCGGCCCGAGTTGTTCCGTGAGCCCAGCAGTAGTGGTAGTGAGCCACATTGCCGAAGGGCTGGCGTCGCGGAAGTGCAAGTGGATGCCGGTCAGGCGCATGGTGTTCTGGTGGAAGGACCGTGTGAACACGTCTTCCCGGTGGACGTGGATGCCGGCGCCCAGGACGGCGTCAGTGAAGACTTGACTTGGGACATGGGTAGATCTTGATCGACGGAGCGCATGATGTCCTGTCTGCTGCGCTGGAGTCCATGTCTCAGGCGTTGTCAGTTCAGCCGCTGGAATCTCGACAAGTGTGAGCACTCTGCTACGTCTTGTTGTGGTTCGGCATCGACTCGTCTGGCAGGGCGAGGTGCTGTTTTTGATTGAGGCTCACCAGGTCGAGAACGTGGAGGTTGGGGATCACGAACTGGAGCAGGTCGCGGTGTCCGGAACGACGTAGTCCAGGAGAACGGTGCGCGGGTTGACGGGGTCCGCGGAGGCTGCGTGCTGTTGACCGAGATCGACGTGCGTGACCATGTGTAGCGTCATGTCGTAGCGGAGATGCCCGGCGAGGCCTTCAAGGATGTCCGACCAGATGGGGGAGTGTGACGGTGTCTAGCAGCACTGGTCTTTCTTGGCCGGCGTGTACGGGACCTTCTGACCGCCGGAGCTGATAAAAGCACGACGCGTTCGCGCGGGTCCGACGGAAGTCGTGCTGAAAGCCGACGACGATCAAGTTGTGGCCGAGAATCTGATCTGGTTCGTCGACCGTCATCTGGTTGTCGGCTGGACCGGCTTGCATCTTGTTGGCGGAGATCTGGTCGATGAAGGTCCGGCTGAGGTTCCTGACGAGGAGGATCTTGGCTCAGAGGAGCAGGCTGGGATGGTGCGTTAGCTTCGTCGGGTCGACCACTGTCTGGAGCAGGTGAAGGGGGAGCTGGTTGGTAGGTTGGCACCTGAATGGCGTAGGGCACGTAGTTGACCGGGTAGAGGTGCGCGGTGGGTTCAAAGCCAAGTGGAAGGATGGTTCGAGGAGGATTGAAACTTTCAGTATGCTGGGCACCTCCAGGAAGGTACGGTGTCGCCGGACCTGCGTGGTGACGAGGCCATGAAGGATTTTGGCGCAATCCAAAATCACCTGCTTGTCCTGAACCTCGGGAGCCAGGAAAGACATACGTAGAGGTGACAGAATGGAACTGCTGTAGATGTCGAGAATCCATCAGAAAAGCCGGCGGTGGTGTGCAGCTGAAAAAACTCAACTGAAGATGAGGAAAAAACGGCAGCAGGTCACTCATCCGATGCGAGTCACTCCATAGCAAGATCACTTGGCAGTTTGAGCACGTGAAGAGTAGGAACACGGGAAACCGAAACCAAACCTGAAGACCTACAAACGCAGCCTGACGTCAAGCGGGGAACCGACCGGTCTGCATGCTGAATCTGAATCTGAACGGAACAGGAACGCTGAACGGAGTTTGAGGTGAGACGTGGCCCAGGAGGTACATTGATTGAGAGGGGGTACCTCAAAGAATCCAGCACCGAAAATCCCCTGAACGAGATCTTCTCCTCAGTGAGGAGCCGTCTAACTTGGCGCCTTGTCGGACGTGCCAAGCGATTCACACTTTGGAGTGCAGAGAGGTCGCAAGGGTCATATCCAGGCAGTGTCACTCTAGTTACAAACCAACAGCATCAACATCACGGCACAGAATCCAGTGGGTAACCAACAGCTTATCATCGAGCGCAGGTACGTGGCTGAAGCGTCCTTCTGCCATATCCTGATGCAAGACTTGGAGCTTCGTTGGACCAGGCCAAGTCAAGCATCCCTGGTCCCCCTGCTCGTGATCATACCATAGACATTCCAATATCGGCCGTGACGCCGCCTTCGTGCAAGAGAAGGTTCCACACACACACACACACACACAACTTGTGACCTAGTGAGTGACGCACAAAACAAACACAAAGAAGCTGGGGCCTTGGCCTCCGTCTGAATCCTAAATTCAACGCATCAAAGGATTTGACTTACGTGCTTGCCAAAAAATGGCATATGAGTCCTCCTCAGCCATTGGTCACACTTCAAGACTCATGGCTCAGCTCGTCAAATGGCACGCCGATGCATCGTGTGTGTGTTGCGTCTAAAATCCTACGAGTAGATGCCTAGATGGTCCTGCCACTTGCATCATGTTTATGGTTAGAATAAATAAAAGCTCTCGCAGGAAAGATAATCACGCCTAAGGTGCAACCCATCCAACTATTCTCTGTGCCAACAAGCGCCCAAAGCTGGCCAGAGCAAGCATTCAATGTCTGTCACGCAAACAAGCGCTTTGAGCGCTTTGGATGACAAAGCAGGAAAACTCGCACCAGTCACGGACTTTTCTCTAGAAGTTTATTGCCAGAGAAGCGCCGCCGGCCTGCCCCACCCTGTGCCTTTTACGCCCGCCCCCAGGAGTCCCAGCCACACCGTGCTGTGTCGGCCTTTGAGGTCTAAGAATTGGCGCATCTCCGAGTAACGCACGCCTCCGCTCACGGCATAGTCTCACCATGCAGCCTCTGGATCTGCCTTCCACTTGTAGAAGAGGAATGTCATCCTGGCTTCAGTGAAACACTGACGTGTCTGTGAATGTGTGTGTGTGTGCATGTGTCTCGGTATGTGCGTGTTGTGACAGCACGATCATGGCCAGAGCATGGCTGCATTGCTGGCAAGTGCTCCTTGAGGAAAGGCACGGTATCAATGGTTGACGTTGGTTGGCCTCGGACCTGCATCTGATTGCGCGCAGGCATGCGCAAGATTGATGTCTTGCTCACGTCTGCAAGCAAAGAGCAAGATCGATTACAAGGCCTTTTGCTGCACGAGTTGGGCAAGGTAAAGTTACTGAGGTCAGCGAGGTCAGACTGACTCTAAGCGCTTTGCTCAGTAAGCTCTGTTCATGGGTGGGGCCATCATTCCAGGCGCTCCTTGTGGCATGCCACTTTGCTGCGGAGGAGCCTGCTGGGGTGATCGGTAGCCCATGCGCTGCAAGAACTCGGTATAGGTACTTTGCATGCCCACCGTCCTGTCTTCTATCAGAGCTGCGAAAAACTTTGTCTCCTTGGGCTCGCCCTGCCGCATGATGTGCAGCTGCATGAAAGGGGTGGGCCGCTCAGAGCGCACTTGTCTGATGATATGGCCAACCTTCTCTGACAACGGGTCGCCGCGGGTGCCCACCACAGCTTCGGCCGCCAGGGGGTCGAGCTGATCGAAGGATGCAACTCCAAAGACGGCTTGCAAGAAGTTGACATCCACAGCCCGACCGATCCACATGTACATGGACTCGCCGTCCTCCAGCAAGTAAACCCCATCTTGGGTCATGGACTCACTGGTGAGATTGAGCATGTCTGGCAGCTGAATGTGCCCATGCTCATCAGGAGTGCGACAGGACTCAGGCGCATTGTGCAGTGCCATGAGCCGAGGATTGAAGAAAGCTGCAGACTGTGACACCGACAGCGTCTCCAGTCGCATCCACAGGTAGGTCCGCAAGTCGGCTGGAATGTCGTTGGTTGCCCGGAAACCTGCTGACTTCAGCATGCCCATGATGTACAAGGGGAGAAACTGCAAAGCATCAGACTGTGGACACATGTTGCCAGCCTGGACAACCTGCTGACAGAAAGAGTTGAGCTTGTTTCTGCCTTCTGTCTGGTTGGTCTTCAAGGACTGGTCTAAAGCAAGGTGGGACATCATCACAGCGCTCGCCTGCACGTCGATGGAGCCGATGATGTCATTGAAGTTTTGAGTTGTCATGGCAGCCCAGGTGTGCACGCGGATGCGGCGCTCACCCTCACTGTTCGTGTATAACAGCGCACTCTGAACGTAAAGCACGGGATCCGGCGTCACATTCTCCTCCATGTCAATCTGAATCGCGAAAGTCTGATCTGAATGGCAGTTGGGAACCACCAGCAAGTCCTGGCCCCGAATGAACAGGTGCCCGTCAAACTTGGTAATTTTCCAACCTCTGGACACACGGACCCTCATCACAGCTTCCCAGCCCATGTACCGGGTGAGCACGTGCACCAACTCCGTCTTGAATTTCGCCTCAGGCAAAGAAAGTGGCAACCAAAAGAGACACCTCCTGGTGCCTTTCCAGGGAATTCATGCGTGCCTCTTCAAATCAAGCCAAAGGTCCGGGAACAAACAGATTCAACTAGAAGGAACAAGAATCACTCAAAGTTGTGCAAGAAGGAAAACAGATCGCGCACGACAACAAGTGCAAAACATGACAAAAATCAATCTGACTCATCTCCTCTGAAGCCATGGCAAGTGCAGGGAAGTCGCGAAGCAAGTATTGATGTTGAACTGCGGGTAGTAGTGAACGTCGCCACCGGTGTACTTGGCAAGTGGACAAATTGATGCCAAGTCCATGTAGGCTTGAGGAGCCAAGAACAACTCCACGGAGATCTGGGCTGGCGTAAGCTCCTACCGAAAAATTATTTGAAAGCAAACGGGAGGACATGGATGGCAAAATATAATGGTCAATACAAACTCGAGTCCGGTCCTTGCCCAACTCCTTGTATCCATCGTTTCCTTGGATGAACTGCATTCTGAGCAGCTTGGCAACCTCTACATTCCTGCCAAGCTGCCAGCAGGTCGCAGCAGCTCCACTTCACGGTCGGTGCCAAGCAACCTTGCGATGCTGAGCTCAATGTTCGGCTGCTCTTCTAGCACTTTCGTGCTCGAGCTAATCAAATAAATCAAATGCGAATCAAATGCGAGCTCTGAGTTTGGCTTCTGCACAAAGGCTCATGATGTCTCGTGTCAAGCCCGAGGCCGCGGCCGGGGGTTGTCCCTCGTGGACTTCAGCGCCAGCTCTCCCACGCTCGGAATGCAGGCACCGAAGACGAGGAGCTTTCCACCAATATGCTTCATGGCCTAGCCCAAACACCATCAAATAAAAATACAAGAAAAAATACAAAAAAGGAAAAGAGCCCAAAAGAGCTAAACTGCAGCTTCGAGTTTCGAAGCCCAAACCCTAAGCAAATGGACAAGTGGCCATGAATGCACCTCGCACAGCGGATCCCAGGCAGGATTCATTGACTTTGGTCTCGCCAAAGATGGACGGCAGGGAGTCCAGCAGGTTGATAATGGCTGTTTCGCTTTCGGCCAGCGGCACCAAAATGTCATCGGGCAGCGGCAGGAATAGGTCTTCCAGATCAGAGACGACAAGCATCTGGGGCTGACTGAGGTTGGAGTTCAAGTTGTAGAAGTGCAAGCTGGTGTCAAAGGTGATGATGCCCACCTGGACCCGCTGCCCGCCAGGGATGTTCCCAGACTGGATGGCTTCCTTGATGCTGGCCACGACGGTGTTCAAGAGGCCCGTGACGACCGAGGTGTAGGACACATCGATGACGAACATGAAGACCGGCGGCTGCGGAGGTCGCACCATGTACTCCCCGGGGGCGATGTACTCCACTGCCCCTTTGTGCAGCTCTGCCCGCTGGAAGCGGTCCATCCGTTTGCCTGACTCATCAAGGCTGGCGTAGTACGTGTCGGGAGTGAGCTGAGAAAATCCGCAAAGATTGCAGTTCCAGCGACGTCCATTGGCCTCCCACTGCACAAAGGGGTTCACATAGGTTCGACACTGTTTGCAGCGAACGATGGTACCAACGGCACCAAAGTTCACCGATGGAACCTGCTCAATCTCTGGCGGCAAGGGCGCCAAAGGTTGCAAAACCACCCCCAATGGGATGTTTAACCTCTGCTTGGCGCTGACGGAATTCGGCAGTCTCGAGACCGAGCACCGCATAAAGTGGGCGGGAGAGTTGAAGGCTTCAACATCTTTCAGGAACTGCGCAGAATACGCATCCTGCTGTGTGTTCTGCTGCATCCCGCCCATTTGACCACCCATGGGAGCGCCCATGCCTCCCATTTGGGCCCCCATCTGGCCTCCCATCTGACCCCCAATCGCGCCAGTGTCCGCGCCGGGGTACATGCCCGGGCTCGCCCTCTGTGCTGATGCGGCAGCACCGAAGGCTGCCGGCGGCTCCGTGCCGGAGCTCATGCCAGTGCCGGGGAACGGTGTCGAGGCGGCGGGCGGGCCCTTCATTTGGTCCACGGAGGGCGGGGGCGGCAGGCCCGGATTTGCCATGGGTGGCCCTCCTCCCATTGGCGGCCCCATTGGCGGCCCTCCCATTGGCGGCCCTCCCATTGGCGGGCCCCCCATGGGTGGCCCTCCCATTGGTGGCCCTCCTCCCATGGCTGGCCCTCCCATCGGTGGACCTCCTCCCATGGGCGCCCCAGCTGGCCCTCCAGCGAAGGGTGACGCGCGGACATTTCCGGCAGCTCCAAAGGGGCTGGCTGCCGGGCTGGCTGCAGGCCCGGGCCCGGGTGGACCCGGGTAGCCCGTGTTATAAGGGTTCATCTTGGCCTACCTAACTTGAGCTGGAAAGCCAAAAGCACAATTTGCACTCTTCGCCGTGGCACTTGCACTAGACATGACAACTCGTAGAGCGGCTGACATGAGATCTGCAGCATGCAGAATACATTCGAAACTCTGGGAGCCCCGCCAGAAAAGGCATACTGAATCGCTGCGTTCTACCTTCCGTGTCCTGCTTCTTGCACATTGAATAGCTTCTTTCGTGGTTCTGCGCAACATGCGGCTGGTCGCCATCCTTGCAAACTCTGTGCCGGGCTGCCGCGTAGGTGCCCTTGGTCAAGACCTGAACGCGGGTCAAACCCGAGCTACTCCATTGCTCTCTCGCACCATGCCTCCAAGAAGTCTCCCACAAAGACCACCAAACACTCACCCTTTGCCAGGCCAGACCTTTGCGAAATGCCAAGCCATGTCCCTGGTGCAAGCCAATGTCGAAAGTCTGGGTGCGTTGATCTCAGTGCTGCTGGGAACGGGGATAGTTGGATATTTGGATATTTTGATATTTGGATATTTGGGGAAGCTGCGCCGGCAGCCGCAACCAAGGGGGTGCTAGGTGCTGGGCGCAAGGCTCAACATCCAGCCAGCGCTCATCCCGATCTCGGAACTGAAGCCTCAGTGACTCAGTGCTTGGGATCTAGCACCTTCCCAGTTGCTACCTGCACTGCTGCACTGCTGCACTGCTGCACTGCGATCCTGTAACTCGGTGAGCTCCACACCCTGGAGCTGACCCGACAGGCCTGGCAGCTCTGTTTACAGTAACAGCTCGACTCTTGGCGAAAATCACTCGGAGATCTGGCTGAGGCTCCAGGCGCAAGCGTCAAAAACGATGAGTCCGTGTGCTCATCGAAGAAAACTGGCGTTCGCTTCCATTGAAAGGAAGTAACTCGTGAATAGAAACGGACCACACACAATCAGGCAAGCATCCTACCGTGTCTGCGGGCATACTTGGCCAGCCTGCATGTGAGGCCTCTTCCTCCGCACAAGCCTGACCACAAAAACCACTGCCTGAGTTTCACTGGTGACCCATTGCCTCCAGGCCATAGCTGCACAAACCTCATGGCAAAGCAGGCTACGTGAGAGGGCCAAACATGGCAAGCTCACGGAGCACCGAAGCGCTGCAGTCTCCGTCCTGTGCCGAACCGCAAGCCAGCTGAAGCGCAATGAAGAAACTGCCTCCAGATTCTCCAAGCCTTCTTGGTCGATGCACCTACATGGCTTCTTCGCAACATGAAATCGGAGGCAGGGGCATCGAGCAACAGTGTGTGTGTGTGTGTGTCTGTGCTTCTCTGTGTGGGTGCTTGGGTCTGTCTGCGCGTCTGTCCGTGTGTGTGTGCGTGTGTGTGGGGAGTGGGTCTCTCTACTTTGTCTGACTTGCCTGATTTGGGTGATGTGTGTCGGTGCGCTTGTACGTGTACGTGTACGTGCGCGTGTGCGTGTGCGTGCGCGTGTGCGCGCGCGTGGGCGTGCGCGTGCGCGTGCGCGTGCGCATGCGCGCGTGGGCGTGCGCGTGCACGTGAGCGCGCGCGTGCGCTTGCGCTTGCGCTTCGGCGCGTGTGGGCGTGTGCGTGCGCGTGCGCGTGCGCGGCTTCGTTTGCGTGAGCGTGCGCGTGCGTGTGGGCGTGGGCCCGCGTGCGCGCGTGTTCGCGTGCGCGTGCGCGCGTGCGCGCGTGCGCGCGTGTGCGCGTGTGCGCGTGCGCGCGTGTGCGCGTGCGCGCATGCGCGTGTGCGCGCGCGCGTGTGTGCGCGTGCGCGCGTGCGCGTGTGGGCGTGTGGGCGTGCGGGCGTGTGGGCGTGTGTGCGTGTGGGCGTGTGTGGGTGTGTGGGTGTGTGTGGGTGTGTGGGTGTGTTTGTGTGTGGGTGTGTGGGTGTGTGGGTGTGTGGGTGTGTGGGTGTGTGGGTGTGTGTGGGTGTGTGGTGTGGGGGCGTGGGCCCCTGCCATTCCCCGCGCCCCAACGCCTAGCGCAAGCCTACGTGTTTTTTGGCATGATTTTCAAACAGGCCCGCTAAGCCGGGTGTACCACGCAGCTTTGGGGGCTTCAGATCCAACAGGGGCGCGGCTTAGCCCGTCAAACCAACAAAAGTGCAGCAGCGCTGCGCTCGATCAAAGCCGCCATGGGCAGCTCTGCTCGTGACGTGGCTCCGTCTCCGCTCTGCCTCGCAGGGGCGGAGAGGACGTGCTTGCAACTCAAGCTGAGGTGCCGGACTACTTGACTGCCTTGGATGCTTTGGAGGTTGATGCCACTCGAGAGTACGCCGCGCTGAAAGCAAAGGTCTCCTTGGCTACGGACCCGTGTCAGGGGGCACGCGAGCAGCTGCAGGATCTCGCAAGGCAGGCGGCCGGCAGGCGTGGAAGATGGCATTTCATGCTGACTTCGACTTCGACGCTTCTGAGCTCGGCGAGAAAGCCCAGCAGCTCAAGTCAGAAGATCTCGAGAGATTTCACAACGCTTGGGCCAAGGTAGTGCAGGTATACACCAGGCCATTGGCCGGAGGCAAGACAATGTTAGCTTGCGATCATTTGTCACTTCGCACTGCTTGGGCTTCTTCTCCAACTTGCTTGAAACCAAGGTCAAAGACTCTCTTGCAGAATAGGTCCGGGGACCGTTACACATATTCTCTACACAGAATAGATCCGGGGATACGGTACCCTGGCAGTGGGTCTCAGTTGTGGTAGCGGAGCGCGGAGCGGGTTTTCTGCAGAGATCCAAACACGACGTCATCCGATGGAGAAGGCTTCATGGAAGCCTATTCAAGTGTTGGCCGTTCATCCGGTTAGACTGAAGAGACGCCCAACTTATCGATGACCACCAAGCAGCCGCCATCGTACGAAGAGTCAGCTGGTTAGTCAGATATGAAGAACTTGTAGATGATTGGGTGACCTTCACAACCATTGAAGCATCAAGAGAGGACGACTCCTCAAGAGCCGTCTCACGGGAGACGCTCACATGTACAAGGCAGTCCGCCAGAACGACCTCTTGCAAGATCCTGACGAAGGAGTCAACTATTTCAAGAACACGCTGAAGAAGTTCTTCCTGACTGGGTCGACTTATACGGACTTCTCAGTTTCTTCAATCACAGGAGGCAGAACACCGAGTTCCTCATATTCACATCAAAATTTGAGATTCTCTTGGTGAGATTGAAGGCAGCCTGGATGGACTTGATGCCAGCACATACCACAGTCACCAGAGTTCATAGCATCAGTTCAAGATGCTGATTCAAGAAGAAGGGCCGCGCACCAGCAAGCCGCTGGTGCACGAGCACCGCCTCCAGATCTGCTGCAGATCGACAATCCACAAGTACTCAGGCAGTACCTTACAGGCATGCAGACAAGGCACAGGAACGCATTTCCCCTCAGCGACCACCTCATTGCACAGTTTTGTCAGAGCAGCAGAGAGAAAGACTGGTCAGTGCAAAGTCGTTGAGAAACATCTCGCTTGAGAACTACACCTACGAGAGTTAGATTAGGGCATACGCAACTTCGGAAAATGTTAGAACGCCCGAAAAAACAAAAATCCGCACACCGTATTCCAGTAATACCGTCATACCTTAGCATATTAATTTATATTTTTGAATATATCAAGGTATTTTACGAAAAGCTAGTTAATCCGGATTGTTCTAGCAACTCCTTTATTTTATTGCCCCTTTCCTTCTTCAACATTACATAATCTTTCTTTTTAGCAAAAGCAAGTTTATCAGCATATTCTTTCATAATTTGTCCCCTCAAACTTTGCCAATGCCATTTCCACGTGCAGCGCTCGTCGTATTTTTCAGGTCTTACTATTTGTCCGCACTCACATTTAATATGTCCATTACACGCTCTTTCTTCTCGCCGTTCCCTGTTTATATCTTCCTTGTGTTTTTGATAATATCTTTGCCTGGTCTCTCTGCAGTTTATGCAGGTTTTAAATATTGTATCACTGTTATCATCTTGAAAACTGAATAGAAGCTTATTGCATTTACATTTAGAACACTGTTTTTCGTCCATACCACCTTAATATATAATCATAGCATTTCTGTAAATATCTTTTTACAACAACTAATTAATCATTTTTCAACATTTGGATATTCCGAAGTTGCGCGTGGTGCTCCTTGTAGGAGTTTATCTTCAATATATAAAACGGTATACTTACACTATAATTATAACAAGGGTATAAATGTTATAATCATAGTATGGTTTTAGGGTATTAAAGTAAAACCTTTCTTTGGGGATAAGGGTACAATTCCCCTTTCTTGGGGAAAAGGGTAAAATTCCCCCTTCTTTGGGGAAAAGGGTAAAATTCACCTTTCTTTGAGAAAATGGTAAAATTCCCTGCCCTGTTTGGCAATTGGCGAGAGTTTCCTGATATATCTATATGAATATTGGTGTTTTCTTTGCTTGGTAAACTATGGATTATCCCCTTAAAAACTAATATTTGCAAAATTTTAGAACTCCTATTTTTTACTGTGTTGTCTTTGGACGAAACTAGAAATTTCAAGTTTCAAGCCCAACCCCAAACTCAAAATCCTTAATCCGTCCGACTCACTAAGATTTCACAAATTAATTCGCTAGGTATTTTATATAGGTCTTCTTGGTAAATACTTCTAATATACTCGTTCATTAGAACTATTTAGAATTTAATTATTCAAATAATACATATACTCCATCATCATTTTTTGTAGTTTTATAAAACTCTCATGTTTGTTGCTTTGGTTGTTTGGTTTTATTACTAGTCAACATTTCACAGTATTTCTTTTGCTTTGTAGGGTAGTCGCCTGATGGTCTTCCTATAGGTTTTGCTTGAAATATCTTTGCGATGTTCTCCTTTTCTTCGTTGCTTTGTTGTTCGCGTTCAACTGGTTTCATTTTGTCATCAATGGACTTAATCATGTCATTTAAGGTTTTGTTATTTTTACCAACTAATGTTATCTTCTCCATTAAACCGTTAATACTACAATTCTCATTTTCACACATTACTATATATTTGTTTAGATAATTACTTATGTAATTATTTAGTTACACGTTTTATTATACAA